GATGTTGATGGGGCGGTAGTTGTTGATATCAGCTGTAGGCCCGTATTTGTGGATAGGTACAATATAAGACTTCTTCCAGCAGTTAGGGTATGTCCCATCGCTTAATGAAATTGAGTATAACTTCACTGGCAAAGAAAACACTTTATTTGAATTTGGAATTCAGGGGAACTATTAGCAGATATCCTTGAAAGAAGAATCTCCAATTCCCTGAAGAAGGCTTCTCCAGTAGCAACTCTTAGGTTGATTGATATTCACTAGCCGCCCACTACCTTGGAGCAACGTGAAGGAGAGACTTCCACATATGACCACTTCAATGTCCATATATTCACTACATCAGCTCACTTCAAACTGGTGGGGGCGGTGAGGATCCCCGAAGATACAGTACCATTTTAATACAATAGTGAGTATTCAAAGTCTGACGGCGGCTATTCCGTATTTGATGATCATCCAAAGTTCACGTGCATATGTGGTTACAGAAGCGAAAATTATTGCATATAAGTATAAAATTTGGGCACTGCGGTAGAGTTAAACTCCATTATAGATAAGATTTTATTTTGATAAGTCACACAGTGTTACACAGTAATCTTAACTGACGACGTTTCGAGCACAAATTATCGCTCATAATAATATCAAGCTACCCACCCACACAACTTTTTCCTTCATTAATATACATGCGTGGAATTGACCAGACATTTGAATAAAAATCAATATGCGATAATGTACACTCAGAAATAATAATAACAATAATAATATGAGTGTTATTCATCAATTACAATCAGATATGAAATAAGACGAGTGTTTTTATAGTCATTATAAGTAACCTTTTAGAATGTTATGATGTACTTGAACTGAAATAGACTTTTGAGATTATTTATTATCCTCTTCTGATTTTACTGGCGGTAATCGTATATTCCGTATTTCTGGTATTTGCACTGAGTCATTTCTGTTGCATGTGTTGTGTTGGGTGTATACTCGATGGACAGGGATTCAGTAATCAACCCCTGTCTCTCTCTCTCTCTCCACCTAAACTAGATTACTTTTTAGAGTCTTAACCCTCTCCCACCCACCCTATTGTGTGGTTGTCTGTTAATTCATGCAATGCAATTGCTGAGCTTGTTTCCAAATTACTTATCTTCTCTGGGTCAACCATTCCTACCTTAGCTAAATTCTTATGTTCCGACAATCTGACTACCCCCGACCTACTAGTTTCACCTATGTGGTTCACTTAACTTACAGTCATTGCAGGGTGTTTTGTAAATTATATTATTTTGTTTAATTGGGTCCACCGGGTATTTTAGCCTAGAGAGCTTGTCCTACCTGAGTGAGTTTGTAGGAGGGTTTGAATTCCACCCTAATTCCTGCTTTATTACGAATCCTATGTAGGGAGGGTCTCGCATATCCCCTCCTTATATGTTATAACACTAGATGACCTATATTCTTTCTTATTTATGCTATCATTATTAGTTTCACAATTATTTATATTTTGCTTTTGGCCTTTTTCGATCTTCCTAATGAATTTTATAGGATGCTTATTCAACAAACTAACACAGCTAATTCTCCATGTTTATTTTCCGATTCAAATATGAATTTTCTTCCTTCAACTAGTGAGTTTATATGTGTCAAGTAGCTAGAGAGAGATATGTTCTGTTTTTAACACAATCACTACACGTCTCAAGCTATGTGAGTTTTCATATATTTAGGCGATGCATTTGCATGTAATGTGAGGGAAATTCATGAATCTGCGCTTAATTTATGCTTTTACATTGTTTAAATAAGGAATTTGCCAAACTGTTTCCAAAAGGTGAAGGCCATTCCAAGGTCGGCTGGGAGCGGGTAAGCTCGGCGTGGTGTCATGATGGGTTCCTGCGTCGGCTAGTTACATGTTTTCGTGAATTCCTTTTCCATTGCATTTTAAAGGTTTTTCTGGATGTTTTGCTCATTTTGCGTGTGCATATCAGTTTTTGTCACTGGATGCTACCATATAGCATATTTTTTAGCCACTAACGCTACCGCGCGAACTCTGAAAAGGGAGTTAATTTTCACGCTCTTGTTTATAATTGGATTTTGTTGTGTTATACGCTTCAAAAGTCCACAGATTTAACTTTAAATCAGTTTATTCTGATCGAAGTTAGTTTACGTTTCAGATCTGAGTCTATTAATTATAAAGTGTTCTCTTATAACATAATAGCCACATATATCTATCTTTGTGCACTCATTAGCTTTTATCACTGATTTACAAAGGTTATATATATATATATATGAAGTTGTATTTAACTTTTCCTGGTTCGTTTTAAATAAAATGCCTATCAAAAGAAACCGCTGCGGAAGGGCTATGTGCCAGTTTCCAGTGGATGAGGGAATGCAGTGTGATAACTGCAAGAGATGGTTTCACAGTATGTGCACGAACCTTACTCCAGCAGCATACAAACGCTGCTGCAAACCTCTAGCGAACTGGTTATGCAACGACTGCTGTAGTACAACTAAACTCCGTATTACAGAAGCCATAGCTACTCTTAGTGGGGCTTTAAAGCTCATGGACTGCAAGCGTCCTCCACCACAGAAGAATACCGACTATTGCTCAGATAGCGATGACGTGACTAGCGTCATTGACAAAACAGCACATGTCCCAGATGCGACCTTGCCAATAAGTGAGTGCTCTACAGCACAGAAGAACACCCACCATATTACAGACACCCAGGTCGCCCCCACGATACTGGATGAGCCCTCCAGTGACAGTAATGGAAAGACTGCCGTGAAGAAGAGGCGTACTAGGGGTCGAAAACCTGCAGCTCCAGTCGCCCAGGGACTGGCGGAACAAGCCTCATCCACACCGGTGAGCAGCAGACAGACGAACCCCACTAAGATTAGCGAGGAGGACGCCAATGAATGGCGCACCGTAGTCTCTCGCAAAAAGCGAGATAAGGATAACACTTCGGCCACACCGCCCAAGAAGGATAGAAACACACTTACGCCTCAGGGCAAGAAAGTCACGGAAAGCAAACCCGATCTCTCTGATAGGTCTCTCATTCTCCACAAAGTGGAGGAGTCACTGGCTCTCGACCCTAAGACCAGATTCGAGCATGACCTTAACTTGGTCAAGCCCCTTTTAGACAAGCTACTGCCACAAACAGTATCAGGCATTACTATACACAGCGTATACAGAATAGGTCAAAAGCCTGACCCTACAGTAAGTGAACCTGTACGTCTCCTCAAAGTCGTACTAAACTCTAAAGCAGAGAGGGACGCTATTCTAAGCAACTCTCATATTCTCAAAGGATCAGGGATATATGTCCGCGCTGACTTAAGCCTAGCAGACCGTGTCAAAAGACAGGCTGCGGCACTAGAATTAAGTGAGCGACGCCGGAACGGTGAGAAGAACCTTAAGATTAAGGGTTTTCGGGTTGTCCGAGTTCGCAGTTTAATGATCCCGAAACCTCTGTGGGTGGGCCGGGGAAGCACCAATCTGAATTAACAGTCTGCTACACAAACGCCCGCAGCCTGTTAAATAAAAGGACTGAGCTGGCAAACATGATAGAAACCGGAAACCCGGATGTAATTATTATCACAGAGACATGGCTCACACCCGATGTCACTGACAACGAAGTTAACCTGCCAAACTTCGAAGTGCACAGGGTAGACCGACTAAACCGCAAAGGAGGGGGCGTAGTCATCTACCTCAAGAAAGGCTTAACCGTGCGTAGTATCGAAGCACTCGCCCACGAAAGTGAGTCGTGCGAACTTCTACGCTGCAGACTTAAATGCATAGGCCAAGACATTGACCTCATTGCTGTGTACCGCAGTCCTGACTGCAGTGCAGACGACTTCCTAATAGAGAAGCTAGGCTCCTGGACTTCAAAATGTCGAAGTCTCGTAGTCGGTGACTTCAACGCCCCAACAGTTGACTGGTCGAGCCTAACAACTCCATCTTCAGTCAACTCCTTTGATCATAAACTGCTAGAATCTAGTATATCGCTAGCCCTAGTCCAACATATCATTAAGCCCACGCGCTATGACTCACAGCACTCCTCGTCAACTCTGGACCTAGTGTTCTCACACGGTGAGGATGTGGATCTCATACAACATCTTCCTCCGTTAGGAAGAAGTGACCATGCTGTGCTCACTTTCAAGTTCACAGCAACGGCAGCAAGGGCCAAAACCCCAGCTCGACCAAACGTTTGGAAAGCTGACATAAATGCGATCGTCTCAGCAGCCAACTCAGTAAACTGGTACATCAATCCAGAGTCCCAAGTAGAAGCCGCATGGAACCAATTTAAGCAACTTTACGCCCAAGTAACTGTACCCTTCATCCCTTGGTCTGTTCCAAAGGGTCGGAAACATTCCCCCCCTTGGATAAACCGGGAGATTCGTAAGTTACTCAGACGTAAACGCAAATGTTGGAACCTGTTTGCAACACTTGAGACTTCTGAGACCAGGGAATTATATACTACTGCTAGAAATAAAGCTATCGCAGAAATCCGCCAATCAAGGATGAAGTTCGAGACACACCTGGCCCAAAATGCAAAGGCACAACCTAAGAAAATTTTCTCGTACTTGAATTTCAGGAATAAAACACCCAATGGTGTCCCAAACCTGATTATTGACAAAGATACAATCGAAGAAGATCAAGAAAAAGCAGAAGCAATGGCAAACTACTTCTCCCAAGTCTTCACTCAGGAGTCATCACTGCCTATAGGATCAGCTCTGGCTGCATCAGAAGAACATGGGATAGATTCCGTTGACATCGACCAAGGCATCGTGCTCAACTTCTTAATGAAACTAGATGCAGGAAAATCAATGGGTCCTGACAGTCTTCATCCAAGGCTTCTCAAGGAGCTATCAGCCCACATAGCCGGCCCCTTGACCACGATCTTCAAGCTATCTCTCCAAAATGGAGTGTTGCCACGTGATTGGAAAGACGCCATAGTAACCCCCATACACAAAGGAGGATCAAGACAAAGCCCTTCAAATTACAGGCCTATCAGTCTCACCAGCACTTTAATCAAGACACTGGAAAGAATTATCAAGAAAAGCATCATGGCTTATCTGGAAAATAGCAGCTTGTTATCTGGAGCACAGCATGGCTTCCGGAGGAACCTCTCATGCCTGTCAAATCTCCTGACTGCAAGAGAAAGCTGGGTCAAATCAAAGGATAACAGAAGACCCGTTGACGTCGTCTTCATAGACTTCAGTAAAGCCTTTGATAAAGTACCTCACAAAAGACTACTCATGAAATTGGAAAGTCTTGGTATCAAAGGCAGACTACTAGACTGGCTCAGGGAATTCCTCATAGATAGGAGGCAGAGGGTTAGGATCAACTCAAAACTCTCCTCCTGGACAGCAGTAAGTAGCGGAGTGCCACAAGGCACGGTTCTCGGTCCTCTCCTTTTTATTCTGTATATCAATGAGTTACCTCTGCTCACCGACTCCCCTATGGTCCTATACGCAGATGACTTAAAAATTTGGAGGGAGCTGAAGGGCAACAGTGATACGTCCACCTTGCAAGACGACCTCAACAAACTGTCGGAGTGGTCTGTTGAATGGATGCTCCCGATCAACGTGGCAAAATGTGCAACCATGCGCATTGGACAAGCAAGCACGAGCTCCTACGAACTAGAGGGAATAACACTTCCATCAGTTCAGACTCACTTGGACTTAGGTGTCATAGTTAGCCACGACTTAAAAACTACAGCACACTGTCGCGCGGTGGCTGCACGTAGTTTCAGGTCCTTATGGGCGATTCGCAGAGCCTTTACAAGAATTACCAGAGATATGTTCACCTCCTTATACACATCTCTGGTTAGGTCAAGACTGGAAAACTGCATCCAGGCCGCCAGTCCGTGTCTAAAAGGGGATTCACACATTCTAGAAAGTGTTCAAAGGAAGGCAACACGTATGGTTCACGGCATAGCTAACTTATCATATGAGGAAAGACTAGATAGTTTAAATCTCTTCTCACTGTCATACCGTAGGCAGAGAGGAGATTTAATCACAATGTTTAAAATTTTAAATAATGACTACGGACCTGACCTATTCTCTCTTTTCCTTCCCACCAGGTCGGAACACCTTAGAGGACATAGCAGGAGAGTTCAAAAGCCAAGGAGAAATCATATTGCTGTTGAGTACTGGTTCTCACATCGAGTCATAAACTCTTGGAACCGACTCCCAGAAGAAGTGGTGTCTGCAACCTCAATTGATTCGTTCAAGAAGGGTTTGGACAACCACAGAAATCTACTAGAAAAGGATTAACATAGGCTGCAAGCCTTCTATCCTCAACCAATACATCTGAAAGTTCCCAGCTTGTGCATTTCAGAACATAGTGGGTAATTTCAGATTCAGATGTATTGGTTGAGGATAGAAGGCTTGCAGCCTATGTTAATCCTTTTCTAGTAGATTTCTGTGGTTGTCCAAACCCTTCTTGAACGAATCAATTGAGGTTGCAGACACCACTTCTTCTGGGAGTCGGTTCCAAGAGTTTATGACTCGATGTGAGAACCAGTACTCAACAGCAATATGATTTCTCCTTGGCTTTTGAACTCTCCTGCTATGTCCTCTAAGGTGTTCCGACCTGGTGGGAAGGAAAAGAGAGAATAGGTCAGGTCCGTAGTCATTATTTAAAATTTTAAACATTGTGATTAAATCTCCTCTCTGCCTACGGTATGACAGTGAGAAGAGATTTAAACTATCTAGTCTTTCCTCATATGATAAGTTAGCTATGCCGTGAACCATACGTGTTGCCTTCCTTTGAACACTTTCTAGAATGTGTGAATCCCCTTTTAGACACGGACTGGCGGCCTGGATGCAGTTTTCCAGTCTTGACCTAACCAGAGATGTGTATAAGGAGGTGAACATATCTCTGGTAATTCTTGTAAAGGCTCTGCGAATCGCCCATAAGGACCTGAAACTACGTGCAGCCACCGCGCGACAGTGTGCTGTAGTTTTTAAGTCGTGGCTAACTATGACACCTAAGTCCAAGTGAGTCTGAACTGATGGAAGTGTTATTCCCTCTAGTTCGTAGGAGCTCGTGCTTGCTTGTCCAATGCGCATGGTTGCACATTTTGCCACGTTGATCGGGAGCATCCATTCAACAGACCACTCCGACAGTTTGTTGAGGTCGTCTTGCAAGGTGGACGTATCACTGTTGCCCTTCAGCTCCCTCCAAATTTTTAAGTCATCTGCGTATAGGACCATAGGGGAGTCGGTGAGCAGAGGTAACTCATTGATATACAGAATAAAAAGGAGAGGACCGAGAACCGTGCCTTGTGGCACTCCGCTACTTACTGCTGTCCAGGAGGAGAGTTTTGAGTTGATCCTAACCCTCTGCCTCCTATCTATGAGGAATTCCCTGAGCCAGTCTAGTAGTCTGCCTTTGATACCAAGACTTTCCAATTTCATGAGTAGTCTTTTGTGAGGTACTTTATCAAAGGCTTTACTGAAGTCTATGAAGACGACGTCAACGGGTCTTCTGTTATCCTTTGATTTGACCCAGCTTTCTCTTGCAGTCAGGAGATTTGACAGGCATGAGAGGTTCCTCCGGAAGCCATGCTGTGCTCCAGATAACAAGCTGCTATTTTCCAGATAAGCCATGATGCTTTTCTTGATAATTCTTTCCAGTGTCTTGATTAAAGTGCTGGTGAGACTGATAGGCCTGTAATTTGAAGGGCTTTGTCTTGATCCTCCTTTGTGTATGGGGGTTACTATGGCGTCTTTCCAATCACGTGGCAACACTCCATTTTGGAGAGATAGCTTGAAGATCGTGGTCAAGGGGCCGGCTATGTGGGCTGATAGCTCCTTGAGAAGCCTTGGATGAAGACTGTCAGGACCCATTGATTTTCCTGCATCTAGTTTCATTAAGAAGTTGAGCACGATGCCTTGGTCGATGTCAACGGAATCTATCCCATGTTCTTCTGATGCAGCCAGAGCTGATCCTATAGGCAGTGATGACTCCTGAGTGAAGACTTGGGAGAAGTAGTTTGCCATTGCTTCTGCTTTTTCTTGATCTTCTTCGATTGTATCTTTGTCAATAATCAGGTTTGGGACACCATTGGGTGTTTTATTCCTGAAATTCAAGTACGAGAAAATTTTCTTAGGTTGTGCCTTTGCATTTTGGGCCAGGTGTGTCTCGAACTTCATCCTTGATTGGCGGATTTCTGCGATAGCTTTATTTCTAGCAGTAGTATATAATTCCCTGGTCTCAGAAGTCTCAAGTGTTGCAAACAGGTTCCAACATTTGCGTTTACGTCTGAGTAACTTACGAATCTCCCGGTTTATCCAAGGGGGGGAATGTTTCCGACCCTTTGGAACAGACCAAGGGATGAAGGGTACAGTTACTTGGGCGTAAAGTTGCTTAAATTGGTTCCATGCGGCTTCTACTTGGGACTCTGGATTGATGTACCAGTTTACTGAGTTGGCTGCTGAGACGATCGCATTTATGTCAGCTTTCCAAACGTTTGGTCGAGCTGGGGTTTTGGCCCTTGCTGCCGTTGCTGTGAACTTGAAAGTGAGCACAGCATGGTCACTTCTTCCTAACGGAGGAAGATGTTGTATGAGATCCACATCCTCACCGTGTGAGAACACTAGGTCCAGAGTTGACGAGGAGTGCTGTGAGTCATAGCGCGTGGGCTTAATGATATGTTGGACTAGGGCTAGCGATATACTAGATTCTAGCAGTTTATGATCAAAGGAGTTGACTGAAGATGGAGTTGTTAGGCTCGACCAGTCAACTGTTGGGGCGTTGAAGTCACCGACTACGAGACTTCGACATTTTGAAGTCCAGGAGCCTAGCTTCTCTATTAGGAAGTCGTCTGCACTGCAGTCAGGACTGCGGTACACAGCAATGAGGTCAATGTCTTGGCCTATGCATTTAAGTCTGCAGCGTAGAAGTTCGCACGACTCACTTTCGTGGGCGAGTGCTTCGATACTACGCACGGTTAAGCCTTTCTTGAGGTAGATGACTACGCCCCCTCCTTTGCGGTTTAGTCGGTCTACCCTGTGCACTTCGAAGTTTGGCAGGTTAACTTCGTTGTCAGTGACATCGGGTGTGAGCCATGTCTCTGTGATAATAATTACATCCGGGTTTCCGGTTTCTATCATGTTTGCCAGCTCAGTCCTTTTATTTAACAGGCTGCGGGCGTTTGTGTAGCAGACTGTTAATTCAGATTGGTGCTTCCCCGGCCCACCCACAGAGGTTTCGGGATCATTAAACTGCGAACTCGGACAACCCGAAAACCCTTAATCTTAAGGTTCTTCTCACCGTTCCGGCGTCGCTCACTTAATTCTAGTGCCGCAGCCTGTCTTTTGACACGGTCTGCTAGGCTTAAGTCAGCGCGGACATATATCCCTGATCCTTTGAGAATATGAGAGTTGCTTAGAATAGCGTCCCTCTCTGCTTTAGAGTTTAGTACGACTTTGAGGAGACGTACAGGTTCACTTACTGTAGGGTCAGGCTTTTGACCTATTCTGTATACGCTGTGTATAGTAATGCCTGATACTGTTTGTGGCAGTAGCTTGTCTAAAAGGGGCTTGACCAAGTTAAGGTCATGCTCGAATCTGGTCTTAGGGTCGAGAGCCAGTGACTCCTCCACTTTGTGGAGAATGAGAGACCTGTCAGAGAGATCGGGTTTGCTTTCCGTGACTTTCTTGCCCTGAGGCGTAAGTGTGTTTCTATCCTTCTTGGGCGGTGTGGCCGAAGTGTTATCCTTATCTCGCTTTTTGCGAGAGACTACGGTGCGCCATTCATTGGCGTCCTCCTCGCTAATCTTAGTGGGGTTCGTCTGTCTGCTGCTCACCGGTGTGGATGAGGCTTGTTCCGCCAGTCCCTGGGCGACTGGGGCTGCAGGTTTTCGACCCCTAGTACGCCTCTTCTTCACGGCAGTCTTTCCATTACTGTCACTGGAGGGCTCATCCAGTATCGTGGGGGCGACCTGGGTGTCTGTTATATGGTGGGTGTTCTTCTGTGCTGTAGAGCACTCACTTATTGGCAAGGTCGCATCTGGGACATGTGCTGTTTTGTCAATGACGCTAGTCACGTCATCGCTATCTGAGCAATAGTCGGTATTCTTCTGTGGTGGAGGACGCTTGCAGTCCATGAGCTTTAAAGCCCCACTAAGAGTAGCTATGGCCTCTGTAATACGGAGTTTAGTTGTACTACAGCAGTCGTTGCATAACCAGTTCGCTAGAGGTTTGCAGCAGCGTTTGTATGCTGCTGGAGTAAGGTTCGTGCACATACTGTGAAACCATCTCTTGCAGTTATCACACTGCATTCCCTCATCCACTGGAAACTGGCACATAGCCCTTCCGCAGCGGTTTCTTTTGATAGGCATTTTATTTAAAACGAACCAGGAAAAGTTAAATACAACTTCAAATATATATATATAACCTTTGTAAATCAGTGATAAAAGCTAATGAGTGCACAAAGATAGATATATGTAGCTATTATGTTATAAGAACACTTCCTATAATTAATAGACTCAGATCTGAAACGTAAACTAACTTCGATCAGAATAAACTGATTTAAAGTTAAATCTGTGGACTTTTGAAGCGTATAACACAACAAAATCCAATTATAAACAAGAGCGTGAAAATTAACTCCCTTTTCAAAGTTTGCGCGTGCCAAAATGAGATCTTCAGTTACCATAAAAAGGCATTATCGAGGAATAGGTTAGAATAAACTTAGAATTGTTTTAAGCTTGGTGGTGCTGCGGTCCAAGTGATAAATCGTATTAATCACCGCTATTCAGGATATGCTATGAACCGGAAATCTTCAGTTGAAAAACGTGTGAATAAGACACAGATCAGTGTAATTTATAACTGACTCCTAATTGCTCTCATCACGAAACAATCAACCAAAGTATGCTTTAAACTGTCGCTGTCAGCCATTTGAAGGGAAATTTACTTGATTTATGCTGACCTAGTAAGCACAAATCTCACAGGTCATTGAATTGACAACTTAAAAAAGTAGATTAGTTGACACATACATTTATCTATATGTACTAATTAAGGATACATTAAATCTTTAGAAATTGTAGTTAAATTATATTCGCCTAGTAATCAAAAATGCATACATCCTATTTTGGACTTAAAATAAATGCATCGAAATTATTGTTGATTTATACTCACTTACTAGACATTCATACATCTTAATGTACTTTAAACACCACTAATGCTTCCAAATAGCGTGTGACTATCACATTACACTCATACCAAAAAAATTAACACACCATTATATTATGGTAAGGTAAGCCCTAAATCATACTGACTATAATTTTCCGTGTCAAAATAAAAAGATTACCGCTTCAACTTATATTTTAGACCAATAGGAAGCCAGCTAGCCAACAGCCAATCAAAATCTGCCTATATCTATTTTCCGTGGGGTCTGCGCTATGCCTGCTTTGCCTTTAACTTCCAAAAACACACTTAACTTCACAAGGGTTCTTGAATGCGTAACAAAGTGTCTCAGCATGCAGTGACGGTATATCGTTTGACCTACTTCCTACAACTCAGGATGTCGTATCACAATGGTGACATTATCACATTTATGTAATATTTAGCAATTCCTAAATAATCACATGTGGTTTCAAACTCGATGCTTTGTCTTTCCTGGCTGGCCATTGTAGGGCGTTCGACCGACCAAATGACATTCGTATAATAAGAGATAGTATGATCTTGTAACCAGGTTTAAACTTTGCGATAAGCATCTTTATGGAGATCCAGTTTGGCCAGATGAGGCCGGTATCACTTCATTGGAATAGAGGGTTCCAATCGTTTGGCACCGTATACAGAAGTTTAAATTCACCCGTATTTTGCTCGACTTCAGTTCAAGCAACTTCTTATGACAGACCGCCAAAGGTACCCTGGAAGGATAGGAAAGGTTGGTAAAATAATAAATCATAGCTGACTGTACTAATTATTCCCGAAGACGTCTAGTATAAGTTGAGTAAATTGCCTAAACTTTAAACTCGTATAAGTGTTTAAAAGCCTTTTGAATTGTTCATGGTTTTCTTAAAGCCTTGACTGAAGCTGTTTTCAAGTTATGATTGACAGTAATTCCCATACCTTCATACCAGGCAGATTTTAAAGCAATCACATTGGTGATTATCCATACCAAGCCCTTTCAGTCTACTTAGGAAGCCTGGGTGGGCTAATATTGTCGGATGCTTCGCTAATAATAATGTCCGACGACTATGTGGAGATCGTTTTCCAGTAGATGATGTTTCAGGATACTGACTAATATGACTTGAACATATACTACAAATACGTTCTCTGTAACACCCATACTGTTTGGTAATTGCTAGACCTTGAACCGGGTGGAAACATTTGGGAGAAGGGTGGGTAATTAGTCAATGATGTGAGATGAAGGATGGTTGTATTGAATAGTTATGTGTTGATGTATCATAACTCCCTGGGTGGCATTTGGAAGATAATCAAAATCAGTGTCTCGAGACATTATCATATGTGACCGAGAGTCTGTCGCAAATCCCTCTTATTGATAAACGCTTCTTAAATACTCTTAATATAAGTATGCTTACCTGTTTTTATGATGTTCCTCAATCATTTTGCTCCTTATCAATATATTATGTTTCATTGTTTTCATGTGGTCTTGGTGCAAAAGTTGTATCTATTTTGTTGTTTAAATAAAGTTAGATGGAGAAATTTGAAACATCCTCATCTATGCATTTCGAAGCCCTATGTGGTATTCACAGTAATTTTGAAGAACCTTAGGTGCAGCTGAATTACAGTTCACTACAGTACGATATTTCAGTCGATATTGAAAGAAACTATCGATTACTACTAATGTTGTGCTTATAAAATGTATACTGACGCGTGTTTTCTTTCTGTTTCAGGTGATAAAACAAATAGTGATAATTATGGATATGCATCAGAAATTTATTTGTGATAAGCTAAAGACCTGTAAGCATTTACTTCCTTTTTAATAAAGTATTAGAACCTCATGATTTATTTTTATTTTCTTAGCGTTAACTGTAATTATATGATTCCTTTCAGATTAGATAGACCCACTAATGTGATGATATAATACTATGCTTTATAGTGTATTTGTTTAATTTGAGTACCTGGATAGATATTTGCATCATTGTCTGAAGTCTCTCCCAACTGATTTCTTTGTTTCACCTTTTAAATAGCATGGAATATTGTCATATATATTAGAAACATCGCAAATTAACTAATGTAGTTTTGTTTTTATTCTCTGCGTTCTGAGTAGGGCATACGACTATAAGCTTTAAACATCCAGTAGTATTTGGTATTGTTTTCACTGGGTGGTGCTTGATAGTCTCACATCCAACCTTCCCTCTTTTAGAAGTTTATAATCAGTTACTAAATTCGATGAGATTAAGGAGAATCATCAGCCAGGAATAGAATTTGGACCAATAATCGCCAAGATTCTCTTTTGTATATCAACATTATCTAGTAATCATAATCATACTAAGTATAAATACTGCCCATTAATTGATACCAGTGCGTCAAAGCACACAGAAAATTTTGCGTTTCTGACAGCCTTCAACCTATATATATATATATATATATATATATATATATATATATATATATATATATATATATATATATACGAGTTGATCACGGATTGATATCAGTTAGAGAACCATTGAAAACCAAGGAGTGCTGGACAGCTACTGTTTCATCCTTTTTTTGGGAATCATCGCCAGAACGCACCTACTGGGATTCGAACCCAGGACCTACCGGTTACAGGGCAAGCTCGTATACCATTCAGCCACTGGGAACCGATTCAATGGCCAGTCCATGAATTCTAACTTCTGCCAATTCACGACATAGCGCACCCGCCAGTCAGTCAATGTCTTCTGTCTGTCTCTGTCTGGGTTCAACATAGAACTTGGCACCGAAGTGCAACAGTTCGAGTTGCCACCTTCCAAATAGCACACAAAGGTAGACAAGAAGACAAGTGAAGAGAATCAATACAGTCTGACAAGTATAAGAGTGAAACAGAATGGGTAATGGTAGGAAGGAATATGAAAGATTACAGAGATTGAATACATCTGCGCCATTGACAACGATTTTGAGCCATGTCACCTATTGTCTCCAGCCATTGATTCCTAGAGTCCCGAGGGCCCCAACCCGGAAGTCTGCATCTCCCTCCCTACCTGACTCAGTTTAACTGTCAAGGATTTCATGGATTGATGAGGCCATGTTTTTGTTTGGCCACCACTGGCTCTTTTCCAACCTGAACCTATATCAGCTAGCAAAGCCCGTCGGGGGAGGCGGTGGTTAGGCATGCGCACCACCTGACCTAGCCATCTTAGTCTATGTAACTTTATAGCCTCGTCGATTGATTTTCCCTCTTTGCCCAACACTCTACGCCTGACGTCAACATTACTTACCTTATTAAACCACCTGACGTGAGAAAGAGATCGCAGACACCTATGATCGAAAACAGTCAACCTTTTCATGTCTTCAACGAGTATTGGCCATGTTTCAGAGCCATAGAGAAGGACGGAGCGAACTGATGAGCAGTGCACACGTCCCTTGGTTGATAACCGGATGTCACGCCTACGCCAGAGATGGTGTAAGTCAGCGAAAGCAGCTCGAGCTTTTTGGATCTCTGCTGAGATTTCGTCGTCAATCAGTCCGTTGGTGCTGATACAACTTCCCAAGTAGGTGAAGTGGTCAACATGTTCTATCACTTCACTCCCTATCACTAAACTAGGAATTGACGTAGTCCAGTCTTGTAGCAACATCTTACATTTTGCAGGGGCGAATCGCATGCCAAACATACGAAGATTGCTGTACAAGGTGTTCAGAAGACTCTGCACTTTGTCAGCATCCTCCCCTAACAGGACTATGTCATCTGCATATTCTAAGTCCATAAGATTATTCCCTGGTAACAAGTCGATTCCTAAGTCATTACGTTCAGTTAAGGATACTTCCATCAGCA